AATAGAAAAGTGAATACATAAATTAATATGAATATAAAAAAATTCTCAATGAAATGCTAGCAGACTAAATATTGCAACATATAAAAAGGATTATAAAGCATGAATAAGATGTTATTTTCCCATGAATGTAAAGCTGAAGTAACATCTACTAATCCTTCAATGTAGTACACATATTAACAGAATAAAGGATAAAAATCACCTGATCATCTTTTCTTTTTTTCAGAAAAGAACTTGACAAAATCCAACACTCTTATGTTATGAAAAGATTCAATACACTAGGAATAAAAAAGAATTTCCTCTACCTGAAAAAGAGTATCCATGAAAAAAAGTCCTCAGTTAATGTCATACTTCTCTGGGGGAAAAGACTGAATGCTTTCTCCCTAAGTTTAGGAACATGGCAAAATTCTCTGCTTAGGGTTTTAGCCACCGCAATCAGGCGAAAAACCAAAACAAACAAACAAAATAAAGCTAGAAAAATGCCTGACACAAAGTAAGCACTTTGTGAATCTTAACTATCACAATTTCATTATTGTGGTTATTGAGATCAGGTGTCCTTCTCTAAATAAAAATATGGAGCATCCTACAAAATTTGGATGAATTAGATTAGATTAAAAAGATGTCTTTTCTCTATGTCCACAGAATGCAAGCTAATATGTCCCTTTTGGAAAGAAATATGGGGAATACTCAGGGATCTAAAAGTTGATCTTGCAATTCCTCTACTAGGTATATATCCAAAAAAAAAAAAAGAAAGAAAGAAAGAAAAAAACTTTATAGCAAAGATATTTGCACTAGATTGGATTGCTCATTGCAGCTCAATTCATAATAGCCAAGTCATGGAAGAAGCCCAAGTGCCCATCGACCCATGGATGGATTAATAAATTGTGGCATATGTATACCATGGAATATTATGCAGACTTAAAAGATGGAGACTTTACCTCTTTTTTTTTTTTTAGAGTTTGGTGCATTTTATTTAACAAATTTAGGCAATAAAATATTTGTAACTCAAATCTTCTTTATATGTTATACGTTCATATATCCCAGGTATCCTTGCTAGGAAAGGTTTGTCCATGGCTTCTCTTTAAAATCCTCAGTTATCTTTTCCTTCTTATATTAGGATTATATCTAAAAAGATCATCAGCAAGAGACTCTTCTTTTGCATGTTGATTTTGCACCTCCACTTCCTGCCTTAACCACTCTTCTAATTCTGTATTCTTTTGAGCATGATGAGCTATAAGATCTGATTCTCCAATGTGTGGAAGTCTTCCTGCCCCAGGAAAATTGACCTTCTTGAATTTCTTGAAATTCCTTAGTTGACCATAATAATTATTTATACCAGATAGATTGCTGCAAGGATAGTCTTTAACCACCAGTGATCTAAATTTAGTTAATAACATGTTTCTTGGAAGCATCTCACTACTGTCCTGCAGTACATCATTGTTAGATACTTCTTGTTTCATTGGCCAAGGTGATTCTTCCTTGAGCTCACATTTCTTCTCACATTTCTTCCTGACTTCATTTTCTTGGGATATTCTGTTATTTTCTGGTATTGCTTTCTCATTCAAAGTGTCACCTGTTTTTATATCCATCTTCGGACTTTTTCTAATATTGACATCTTCCTCTTGTTTTTGAACTTTCGCTTCAATTTGTAATTCTGGTTTTGTGTTTTTGAATAACTCTTCCAATACTTCATCTTCTATAGCTAAATTATCAATTTATTTTCTTTTATTTAATCTTAGCTTTTCTGTAGAATGGGATATATTGGCAGAAATTTTCACACTGAATTTTAAATCTGCTTCTGTAAATAAATTATCAGATTTTTGTCCACAGAGTCATTCTGAGATAAATGCTGCTCCTTATCTTTCCATATTAAGGGTACAGTAGCTTGTGTTTGTTCTAAAAGAGAACAAGACATCTCCATTCTTGCTGATTTGCATGAAGATATTTCTTGATTTTCTTCACCCTTTTCCCTCTTTTTGGTAAGTGGCTGAAAGTAGTTTATGATGGTGTTGGTCTGCTGCTGCTGAGAAGCTTGATCTCTTCTATTTATAGCTAGAAATTTAGTTGGTGAAAGCCGGTAGTTTGGGATTTTCACCTTAGCTTGAGGATTTGAAATTATAATAATATTATTATAAGTTGTTTTGGAAGGTTCCTTCATAGTAGGGCGTTCTTGTGAAAGCATTCTGAGATACTGTTCCTTTTTGGAGATTTTGATTTCTTTCGGCCTTTCACTCAAATCCATACATGTATCTGTTTGCTCTGATTCTGTGTCAGCTGCATATGTTGTGGTATTCACCGGGACACTCAGCTTTCGTTTTTCATTGACTGACAAGCCTTGTGAAAGGCTTGGTCCTGGAGTAGTTGTCTTTAACCCTGTACTGGGCTGACCCTGAGGATCACAGTAGTTCTCTGGAGTCATGAAAATAACTGCCCATCCAATTTCTGCTTCAGGAATAGATCTAAGACCCTGCCTTTGGAGCATATCCACAATTGAATGAATCCATTTTTTCTGAGAGTCAGGAATTAAGATCTGCGAGTTTGTTATTCCTATATCAACAACACAAGTTCCAGGAGTTGAAAAGAAACTATCTTCTTCATTTTCTTCTGTTATCAACCTAGCTTCTCCACCTCCAAAAATAATTGCTGAACTTAATTTCTTATGCTGTTTGGTATTCAAAAATACAAATGTTTTCCCTTTGAAAATTTGTTTTCTTTCCTGTCTTCCTGATAGATCAATATTTTTGCTTTCAATAGCTGGGCCATCAAGAGGTGGGCAAAAACTTTCAATTTGTGGAAGCTGCTTCTTGGACTGAATTGCTTTGAGAAATTCAGTAAAATATTCTGGGTTCACAACTGGACGTCCACAAATGAGAGCACATATTGTTTTAATGGTAACTTTAACTGATATCATGATAAGATGAATACATTCTTCTGGCCAATTGTTTACAGAAGTTCTCCAAGTTGCAATACAGGTTGATTTAAAGCAGTTTTCCCAGACACATCTAAAGAAGAAGAGCATGCAACCAAAGGCTCATACTCTACCCTGAATTGACTTTCAAACACTCCCAAGGTAATTCTATCTCCTGTCTTCAAAGTCTGGGAAAGGCCATTCTGCATTTTCTCCTCATTAGTGAAGGTACCATACTTAGAATTATCTTTTATTGTCAATACTGGGATTTCATCAGTTTGACTCAGGTTGGTTTCAGAAAAGTTAGCAGTTAACACTGCATGATTTCTACGTATTGACTGATCATTTTCAATTAGAATGGCACAATTTTTCTTTCCAACAATGTACTCAACACCAGTCAAAAGTCTGTACGGTTCCCCCAAATCATGTGAGTCTTCACGAAAACAATATACTCTAGCGTCACCAGTAGCTAAGCGTGTGGTCTGGCCTTTGATTAGCTACAATAGGTGTTTCCCCCAGGACTGGATGTCATGGCGGGTCCCCGCCACGGCTCACTTCCCTAGAACATCTAAGCCCCGCTGGTCCCAAACGCAGAGAGCACGTCGCACCCTGTGGGGGCGCCCGCCGCCGCCGCAGCCCCACGCCCACCCTGCCGGTGGGGCTGCAGCCCAGCTCGCAGCTGCCGCACCTCCCAGAAGGGAGACTTTAACTCCTTCACATCGACATGGATGGGCCTGGAACACATCCTTCTTAGTAAAGTATCTCAAGAATGGTAGAAAAAATATCCTATGTACTCAGTACTATTATGAAATCAATTCATGTGAAGAATAGATTACAACTATGGCCCAAGATAAAGGAGGTGGGGGAGGGGAAGGGAAGAGGGAGGGTGAATGGTGGGATCACACCAATGGTGCATAATGCAAGGATACATGTTGGATCTGTTAGTATAGAGTATAAATGTCTTAACACAGTAACTAAGTAAACGAGATGAGGTATGTATTAACCAATGTGATGTAAACATTCCTAATTATATATGAAATCAGCACATTGTACCCCATAAATGCATTGATGTATACATGATTTATGTGTTTATGATTTAACAAAATAAATAAAAAATTAAAAAAATAAACAATAAAAAAATAAAATACTTGGGACCAAGAATAAATAAATAAAATATGGAGTAAAAAAAAAAGATGATGTCTTACACGTGTCATTTAATATTCTGAAACTAAAAACATGTTGTCTTGAGAAATTCTTTTAATTTCATCCTTCAAGGGCAGAGATGTAAATACATTCTTCTTAATTATCATAATCTTCTACCAGAGGATGGCCTAGGGATGATTACTTAGTGTTGTTCTCTATATCATGCCCTGGCATAATCAAAATGCTGTATTGGTTCTAGTAATAGCCATAGTTGTGCTAGAGAAGATGAGGACAGTGGGAAGTTGTATTTACCGGGCAGGTGTTCCATAAAGGTGAGGCCTGGATG